CTGCAGCAGTGAGGCTGAGGGCTGAAGGCCCTGACTCTGGCATTCAATGCCCCTGCTCCATCCAGCCTCACTAGCTGTGAGACTCAGGGCCAGTGACTGAGACCATCTCCTGGCTTCTCTATCAGTAAAATACAAAGGATAATAGTCGTAGCTTCTCCTTCGGGTCAGAGTGAGAAGTAAATGGATATAGTGCTAGGAAGGGTGCCTCGCACTAAGCGGGTGCTCAGCCAAGCCTCGCTGTGATTGCTGTGGTGGCTGCTGTCCCTCTTCCCAGCAGCAGGTGGCGATGTGGTGGTTACAAGCGGGCATTTGAGACCCAGGTCCTTGGGTAGCAACCTGCTCTGCCACTTTCCGTCGACATAACTGTGGGCAAGTGAGTTTCAACCTCCTGATCTATAAAGTGGTAATAATAATAGAGGAAAGCCTGGTGATTATAGCATGACCTGGGTTTTACTGTCCTGACTTCATTGTGGTGTTTGGTGCCACAGAGTGGACAAGCCTGAAATGAATGGCAGCTGGTAGTGAAATAAATTTTATTTTAAACAGGATGTTTAGCCACCGAGGCTTAATTGTCCGTTAAAGGTGATAACGTCTTTGTCTTGATTCACTTTGCCACTTATCTGCACATCGGAAGGTTGATTCTTAGTGAGTGGCCAGTGTCTGAGCTGCAAGATACCTTCCCTGAAGGTCTGTGATGTCTCAGCACTTTCCTTTGCTCCCAGAGATTTCTGCAACTTTCCACGGGCAGACATTTCTGAAGGGCCTCGGGGGCTTTCGGCGCTGATTACCCCTGATTACACCCCGGGTGGTGGAAAGACTTCTCAGAGAACCCAAGGCAGTGACCTTTCTGCTCCTGTGTGAGTCATATATTGGAACTTGCTTTTGTCAAGTAGGTCAGATAAAACTGGACAATGTTGGCAATAATCCATCTTTCCCTGGGTGATGGGAGGATTCTAGAAGGAATTGGGGCAGAGAACCTCAACAAGAGGCTTGGAGTAAGATACCGCTGGTCAGCTACCCCTTGTCTACAGTTCCTTTGAAAACAATATTCATATCCAACGTATTGAACTGGAATGTCGACTCAGCTGATTTCTTTTTCTCTTTGGTCACCCTCAGGGGGCTCAGGAAACTAAATTGGACTGAGTCAGAACACGGTTTTTTTAAATCCAGGGAAGTACTTCTGTCACTGTGCTGCAGGACTCAGAGCTGGAGAAACTATTCTTTTATGAAGGTCCACTGACCCTAGAAAAGAAAAAGACTCTTTCTCCACAAATGGCAACCTTTCCTTTTCCAAGGAGCCTGGAGTTCTCCAAGTTTGTGGTACCCCCTGCCTTTAGAGGCACGTCTTGGCTTTTAGGTTAAAATCCACAATATTTAGCAAGTGAT